CTTTACACCTCGATTAATCAAAAGTCGACTTAAGTGTCCCTGAATACCACCAAACATTGATTTTATTTTATTCCAAAATCGAAAGGATAAGCTAGAAGAAAAATCAATAGAAAAGAACGGGAAAGTTTTAAAAAATATTATTTTGTGTGTGTTAAAAAACACATTGAACGCAAACACACACGCACTTTAATCGATACATTCCTTATTTTGTCGGTCGCAATTCAAATTACAAAAGAAAAACGCGAGTGTTTCCGTTTTTTTTTCTTTTCGTTTTCGTGTAAAAACTTGGAGGAGGTGTTGGTGTTGTAACAACTTGGCAAAGAAGAAAAAATTGTGTATGGAAAATATACACATTTACATGGAATGAAGAGAAAAAATTCATTAGCAATTGAAAGCTAAAATAGAATCAATATCCAAACGACATTGTATTCTAAATAAACGAAAACGAAACTGAAGGCAACAACAACGTCGCGTTTTAAATGGATGTAGATAGTGAAACTCCATTTAAAAATGAATGATTGAATTGATTTTGTTTGGAGAAGGCATTTTTCTTCTTGCAACGACAATAAAGAAAATACAGCTGAAAGTGTCTTCCTCGCATAACAGCTGACGTATTGGGTATGTACTACCAGAAAGAAAAAAATTATAAAAAATTGGATCTTAAAGTTTTTTTTTCGCCTTGATGAGGATATTCTCACAAAAAAATATAGCTATAATAAATGTGTGTTTCCTTTGGTTGGAAAAGAAAATACCTTTACATGCTTCCTTGGGTACATAACTATGTATGTTTATATTGGCTTGTATGTGAAGGTATTTAAATAATACATCACATAGAGGGAAATGAGGGTTGGGGTGTTTTTCAATTCTATTTTATGTTGCATATTGAAGAAGATTATATGGTAGGTGGTTGTAGGTAAGTGGGTTGATGGGTGGTTGCTATACCCGCAACATAACAAACCCAATATTGGTAGAGATCGAATACGGTTGATATGTTTTTCACCTTTTCGTTTGTTATTGATTTTTGTTGTTTGTTTGCCCACAACCACTCTTACACAAATGTTGATATTCCGCCACAAGAAAAAAAAAAATCAAAACAAGGAAGTACAAAATATTTGGTTATATAACAGTTTGTACCCTACACAACACACACATGAGTGTGGGTACTGTGTGTTGAAACAAGGATGAAAGATTTGGTAGGAGATGAGGATAATTATACTGAAATAAGTAGGTATAATGACATGTGTCTATAAATACCTTCATTAGGTTTGTCATTTTGGTTGGCATCTCCTTAAATGAAAGCTATAGACATAAACTAGATATTCGTTATTTTGTCCGCAAAATTTATTTTGTTTTGAAAATAGGAATTTAATTAAAAAAAAATTTGCTTTCCAAAATACTCCAGACACAATAGTCCAACGGATTGGTATCCGAAGATTTTGGTGGCCATTGTGTGCTGGAAATGAAGCGTGGATTCTCATTCAACCGAGAATGGGTGGCGCGTGCTGAGTGCGACGGTGCTGAGTCCTGTTGGAATGTCCAAGGTTTGCGGCCAAAATGTTTGTGTGCCCAAGGCTTTAATACACCCTCCAGAATATTTTCGCGATAATATTCGGCATTAATTCTGATTCCACGGTAGATTAATACGAGCGGAGAACGACCATCGGCTGTTATGGCGGCCCACACCATCACCATAGCCGGCGCTTGAGTTCTGGTGGCCAACCAAGGTACACATTTTTAGCTGACCTCTTTGGCAAGTAAACAAGATTATTTTGTTTGCTTGTTTACAAACTGCTGGACAACGAATGTTTTCAGATCGGGGAAAACCAAATTCGACAGTTCACCACTTTCGGCCAAGCAAAGCAACTCTTTAGCTCTTTTGAGTCTATTTTGCATCTGTTATGGTGTAAGTTTTTGCACTTTTTGGAATTTCAATTGCTTTACCCCGAACTCATTTTTCAATATTTGCCGAATGGAATTTTGCGATATGTTCAGCTCACGAGACATTTTTCGGCCACTGCGGGCTTCGATCAAGTCGTATCTTTATTTTTCCAACCATTTCTTCTGATGTTGCTGTTTTCTTCCGTCCACTTCCTTGGCGTAGGTCTAGGCTACCAGTATCACGTTAACGGGCGATTGTACGAGACACAAAAGATTTATTCACATTTAAATGCTGGAGTGCTCTAATAATAGCCACATGTGGTTTACAGCCAAATATAAAGAAATCACACTATCACGCTTGAATTCCTTCACGAATAACTTTTTTCTGGAAAATTCGCATTAAATGCTTTTGTACGCTTGTAAACAATATAATGAACTTGCCTGGACTAATTTTAACAGCTGTCGGTCGAGTGGCTTAGAAATGACAGCAGTCTGAAGTTGGTTGTAGTTTTTTCATCTATAATACACTACACAAAGAATTTTAGCTGCTCCAGAGAAAGGTTCTATAAATAGTAATTAACATTTACCTAAGACGAACGACTTAAATATGAATTTGTGTTCAACTTCAGCCACGTTTCACACACTCCAATAACATCCAAGAATCGATTTTAATTCATTAAATTTAACTAAGTTTGCTTATGGTTATTTTAAGCTATTTTAAAATTATTTTCCAAAGGTTTAAAAATGAACTTTAGGCAAAAGTTTCTGCCAATTGCAGGATCGAAATTTAAGTCAAAAGTTGGGAGTCAACTAACAATCAAGATATTACCATAAATACTCATTAACATTTTAAGTTACAGCTCCTCGAATTTCATCAAAATCAATAAATTCATTTAAAATTACAAGATCAACAATTCAAAACATTATGAAATATAAACAATATTTCATTTTAGTCGATGTCCCGACTAATAAACGCCCCCTAATTTTTTGGTTATATGGAATTGTTTCAAATTTCGAATAATGATTTTAATATTTTTTTAAAATTTTCGAACTCTGGGTTTATTTTTAATTTTAAAGCTTTAACACTCTCCCTTTTGCTTTGCATTCTATTTACCGGAGTAAAATTCAGGTGGTTTTCGTCCTTGTTTGAAACGTTATGAAATAAAGGGTGTTGTTTTAAGCTCGATAGAACTTGAAATTGTAAAAAATAACACAAAAAATTAAATTTTAATCAATTTTTTTTTTTATTTGAAAGATCAATACGTGACATTAACATTTGAAAATGATTTCGGGCATATGGGCACCGCGGCTGTTCTTGACGAAGTGCATTCTGGACATCCAATTTTGACCACTTTTCGAGCACTGCTGGCCGTATGTCACGAATAACACGAACAATGCTGGCCTCCAAGGCGTCAATTGTTGCTGGTTTATCAGCATAAACCAGTGACTTCACGTAGCCCCACTGGAAATAATCGAGAGGTGTCAATTCGCACGTCCTTGGAGGCCAATTGACAGGCCCACTTCTCGAAATCAACTTATCGCCAAATTTTGATTTCAATAGGTCGATGGTTCCGTTCGCCGTATGGCACGTAGCACCATCCTGTTGAAACTACATCTCCTCCGGATCAATGTCATCCATATTTTAAAACAAAAAATCATTGATCATGGTGCGGTAACGATCTCCATTGACCGTAACGCGAGCTCCGGCCTCATTTTTGAAGAAATAAGGTCCGATGATGCCACCAGCGTGTAAACCGCAACATACGTTACATTTTTCTGGATGTAGGGTCTCTTGTGGATTGGTCTCACTCCATATGCGACAATTTTGCTTATTAACAAAACCATTAAGCCAAAAATGCGCCTTATTGCTGTACACAATTTTGCCTAGAGCCTGATGTTTATACCCTACAACACTATTTGTTGGGGGTATTATAAGTTTGATTGGGAATTTATGTAACACCTCGAAATATTGGTTTCCCATATAGGAAAGTATATATGGATCTTCCTAGCTCGCCGAGCTGAGTCGATCTAGCTATGTATGTCCGTCCGTCCGTCTGTCCGTCTGTCCATGTTAATTTGTAATCACGCTACAGGTCGCAATTATGGCCCGATCCTTACGAAATTTTGCACGAAGGTGGGGTTAGGGTCAGAATAGAAGCCTTTTTCTTTTGGAGATGATCGCCAAATGTTTAGGGGTTGAAATGGACCAAATACTGAAAAAATGTCGGATTTTGCAGTAGCTATACAGGTCGCAATTATAGACTAATCGACGCATGTAGCTAGACTTTAGGGCGGGGAAGAAGCCTACCAATTTGGGTGGTCATCGGATAATATTTAGCGGGTAAAATAGACCATATCTTTTGTGTTGAAAAAATTCAAAATTTTTCATTAAACTGTGAATATTTTAAATCCCGTCGAAATCACAAAGCCATGACAAGGTTACTTCTGACCTTTACATTGATGTTAACATCCATCAAATCGGATATATAGCAAAATATGTGCGATATACTATATGTCTATCAAAGAAGATATGCTTGAAAGATCTCTTATATGTCAAGAACGGCTGCACTGATTTCGGCAGTTCTCATTAATTCAGAATGGCCTCTTGTTAGGAAAAAAAATCGCATAAAAATATCTCTCTAAAGACGAAAATATTGGATTTGTAACATTTTCTCATATTTTTCAATTATTTTCATTTTGAATTAAACATTTGGTAATATTTCTACAGCTAACAAAACTAAGTAGTTAGGATATCAGAATATCATATACAGATCGCATTTATGGCCCGATCCTTACAAAATTTTGCATGGGTATAAGATGAGGGTCAGAATAGAAGCCTACTCTTTTTTAAAGATGATCGCCATATATTTAGGGGTTGAAATGGACCAAAAAACTGCAAAATTATCAGCAGGTCGTAATTATCGCCCGACCCTCACGCACATTTGAATGGGGGTTACCGGACATTGCAAAAGCCAAGCAGTTTTGGATGGCCATCCAAAAATATTCAATGTGCGAAATAGTTTGCCAACTTTTGTAGACAAAATACGAAAATGTCCATTCCAGTGACTCTTTGGAGAATTCACAAATACAGGAAAGACGCACTTCTGACAATTTCGTTAACGCTGATTTCGTTGGAGAATATAGTCAAATGTCTGTATCTCATATAGATGCGTTTCAGTCAAAAACCAATAATAAATGTTAATCTTTTGTCACTTCTGAGAGATTATAGGTCTTTGGGAAATATTGGTTCCAGATCTAGGAAGACCATTTAATTACCAATAAATTGGAAATGAGCAAATTAGTTTAAGTTGCTATTATTCGAAAATTAGAGAACGAAACCTGTTGGTTTTCTTTTATTATTTGTCACAATATCTTGTGGAATTCATTCGAGTATCTCGCCTATATAGACTGTATCACTTATTATAGTGTTGTAGGGTATTCAACGGTCGGCCCCGCTCGACTGTAGCCTTTGCTTACTTATTTTCAAAATAAATTTGGATAATTTCGTAGCGTTGTTCAAGCGTGAGTCCATTCATGATGATTTGTCAGAGTATACTGAAACAAATAAAAAAAAATTTCATCAAAATTTATTTTTTTGTGTTACTTTTTACAATTTAAAGTTCTATCTGGCTTAAAAAACCCCCTTTATATCTTCACGGTCATCTATTTTGAGATACGTTTCAAATTTGCTTTAGAATTAAATTGTGGCCTTTCATTAGAATCCTTTGTAAAAATAATTA